TTAAGATGCACTTTGGGGGTGTAGTAATACTTAGAAGCTTATATAAACAATGGAAATCAAGCATTCAAGTACTTAATCCCGTCTGTCTGGAACAAAGTAGATTCAAATTGAGGAATAAGTCAGAATATTCGTTCAAGTTTTTCTATTGCTGTTAAGAGGTGCAATATCATGTGATAGAGATGTTTGGAACTTGAGTTTTTCAACTGGCAATTTTGAGTAATAACGAACTTTAAAAAGTGCGCCTTAATCCTTAGTTCCACATCAATTCTGATCGATTCCATCAATTAAGTTTAGAAAATATTTTGTCAATTTCAAAAAGTTTCATTTTCGATAGAAAAACATAAATATGAGTTAGAGTAAAGAGTCCACATTGAAGAATAGAAAAGACAACAAACTTCCTTCCATAATCATTTAACATACAGACGTCTTCATCAGTCACCACAACTTTAAGATGACATTACAATGAAAATATTATTCTTTCTTTAAGATTCCAAAGAATGCTCATCACGTAATCATGTTTTCATAAGAGTATGCGAGACATAAACTTTCATCTTACACATATGAAAAATGAGAGATATTTGTACATCCATAAAGAGATTTTTGTCTTGTCCTTTTCTTTTTATGGTTGATAGTAATACGAGTAGACATTTTATGAAGTCATAAAATTTAGAGGAGTCTCAGCTGCTGACATATGCTTTGATATGCTCCATTTACACCTTTTTTTTGAATGTTTGTTGAGTTATTAGCTAAAAATATTGACTTTTATGGTTGACGGAAGCGTTTTAAAGAAGTTATTAACAACAGTCACTTTTTGAAAATTTACCGAGATGATTAAAGTTTTGCTTCAATTATTCAAATTTGCAAATGTCGTTAAATTCTAATTCCATATTTTACATCAATTCTTGCAGCTTTTCAACATAATATGCTCATAAACACCACCATTCAGACAATCATGCTAAGCTAATAAAAATTAATTGCTCCTGTCGACTTGTTTTACTAAAGTTTTCAAAAAATGATCCCTTCTCATAAATCATGCGTATATAAATTTTTACATCTATTGAAATCGTTCCTACATATTTTTAATCAACAATAAAAATCAGAATCACATGAAAGCGTTAAAAATTATATCTTTCGTCTATATGAAGCATAAGCATATTCAGGCATTTCATACACATATTTTTAAATAGTAAACACCGTTTTCGATTTCATTGTTAGAGCTATTTCCCATACACAAAGGTTCATTTTCTTTCTATCGTTCTTTATATTATGTATGTTATAGAAAAACTATGGCAAAAGTTTTTAATCTGATGTATTTATGCAAAGTCAGGAAATTCCGATTATATGGAATGGAATGGAAAGAAAAAGTTTTCGTTCTTTCTCTTTCCTCCTTTACTGTTCAGTCGCTATACTGAATATGCACATGAAAATCAAAGTTCATTTCATTGTTATGATTTGTTTAGCGTGATTTTGGTGTGAAAATGTAATTTGATCTAGTCAATTTGACTCGAATGGATATTCTAATATCATTTTGTAAATTAATATTGACTTTGGCTTTACATTTTCATGATCCAGGTCACATCCAGATGGTGATTTTGTGCAAAATAATGTTCATTTGTTTTTGTGGGAAGTTCACAATTGTGTACAATATTATTTTGATTAACAAGTCCTGGATACCAAAGCTTGAAACTATCTGTAGCCATTTTCTTGGATCAAATCAAATTAGTTCATACTCAAAGTTTAATGCGCTTAGTTTCTTCTTTAAAAAGTAACTCTGATTCCAACTTATAATCCAACTCCTATGGACATAAATATAAATGGCATTCTACAATGGAGAATGATGATAAATACAACAGAGAGGGAGAATTGAAATAAAGGTTGAATAATTTTTTTTTTATTTCATTAATGTTACTTTTTTTTTGTTGAAGTGTCATTATGGCCCTAAAAATACATTTTTTTATCGTCCTACTCATTCACTCTAGTATGAACCAGTATGAACAATATACATTGAGGAAGAAAAAGAGAGTCAGACGTTATCAATCATAGAACATCTTGACTCAGCATATTTTTTCCTCTTTTAATGCTATTACGAAATAGAATGGAAGTGAAACAAGATGGTGATGCTTTAGGTGGAATGAAAATGTGTTATTTTTGGAAGGTCAGAATCTCGCTAAAGGAGGATTTAATTCAAGGATGAAAACACGCCTGACATTGGGACTGCTTATTGAATTTTTGTGAATGCTTTAAACGATACAATTTTGTTAAGGAAATTTGAATGATGCTAGCTTTTAAACTATCTAGCTTAGTTAATGCTAGCTTAAGTATTGACTAAATGTTGAGCTAATCCCCCACTAGCTACGCTTCTGGTGTTATGGCATTTAAAGATCGATGTGTGTCTGGAAGTTACTAGTCACTAGGCAAAAATTGTTTTATGTACAATTTAGGAACTTCTCACTTATAAAAAAACTTAAATGTCCATAATCCCATTCTAAAGCATCCCAATCAAGATGTTTGTTCAATATTTTCTACAGCTAAACATTCAAGAATTCAACTAAGCGCTTAAAAAAGATTAAATTCATAAAAATTCCTTAAAAACTCAATAAATTTAAAAATTTTATATCTGCCAGCAAATGTCAACAAATAAAATCAGATAATTAAACTTTTGTAATTGCGACCAAAAGTTAATTCAGTGTCAGCCGGTGAACAATTAAAAAGTCGTAAACTTTAAATTTTAATTGAGATTTTTTTATGACTTAGAAATTTACGCCAAATAAAATCACTTGATTTATATCCAAAACGGTCACTGCTGTATGTTGAATATCTAAATTAATAGTCCAGCCATACATAATCTTCAAGGGAGTCTTGTGTATTATTGTTTATGGAAAAGTCATAAAAATTTACATAAGATTAATGCGACTTGTAATCCCTTTTCTTCTTCTTATTGATCACTTAAGAAACATTGACACATGTTTCACAGGCTCAAGAAGAAGAAATTATTTTCCCATGCTCGCAAGTATAATATTTTTTTGGCAAAGGAACTAGCAATAAAGCACTGAATAGGAAAACATCATAAAACAACAGGTACTATTTGTAGTGCATTGGAATAGACAAAGAAATTATGGAAATTAAGACATGGGAAAATATTTTTTTCGAACTGCTACATGTTAGTTCCGATGTGGAAAACCCAAAAATTATTGAAGAAATGTGCAAGATTCCCACGTTTCAGGTATTAGTGTGGAACATCCATTTAGATTTATTCGTACTAAATTGTTAGCATGATTTGCTGTGAGTCTTTGAAGATGTTAATGGAATGAATCAGTTTGAGTGGAATGCCTTAAATCTGAACTTTTTAACAGATAAAATACATTTAAATTTGAATATTTGTCAGTTAAAAATGAATTTTTTTGAATTTCCCAAGTTCTAGAAATTGATCTAGAATTGATCTAGAAAATTTAAACTTTATAAAACTGTTGAAAAATTATTGTTTTAAAAATTCAAATCAAATATCTCTAAATGCCATGAAACTCCACTTTATTTTAGATTCACTTTTTAAAATGCGCTTTAATATCCATTTTTCATTATTTTTGGATAAGTATTTTCTCGGGATTTTATTATATTGCTTTTGCCATTCGATACTAAATGCTCAATGAAAAGCAGTAATTGTGTGGGCAATAACTCACCATTTACTCACTCTCATCAACTGTTTTGAAAGATATTGCAATGTTTATTTATTTAAAATGGGATTATTTCCTCAAAATAGAGATGGAAGAGTGCCTTAATCGCACACGAAAGAATTTCTGTTTTATTTTTCTTCTAAATTCTATGATAATTATTATGTTGATGAGGGAGGATGTGCTACATAATCCTTATCAAGTTGAATAACATTATGTTAATTAATGTTGTCTTCTTGTGTTTTTGTCTCTGTCGTTTTTTACTCTTGTTCCTCAAAAAAACTTCTATTATTATTGCTATAGTTAAAATTTAAATCCCTTTTACTAATCTCCATTGATTGATGGCGTTTAACGAGGGAAGAGGCTTCGTATAATTTAGTTTATTTTGTTGAATGACGAAGAAGGAAGAGCTTTGTGGGTTCAACAATAATTAACATTTTTTTATTGCTTCTGTGATATTTTTTTCTCGTTACTAAAATTAGGACTATTTTAAATACTTTATATTGAGTGGGTAGCTCATTCTCGATATTAGAATTTAGTTTCTTAAAATTTCTTGATTTAAACGATATAAAGTATTTTTGTGATGTTATGACTGAAGAATTTGTAATAAAATCTAGAATTGTGAATTATGAAATAACATTTTGGAGATCTGGTAGAAAGAATAATTGGGAGTTCAGTCTTACTTCCAAAATTAAGTCATAAAAACAAGCATACTAAATTAATACTTATAAAAATCAATCTTTCAACTGCTATAAAAATCAAAATGTTTGAATTTTGTAAATTTCAAATATCCAAACCTTACAAAACTTTAAAACAACAAAGTACATGCTAACCTCCTTTAAAACTGCCCCCACTTGACGTCCATTGCACAACATTCTACTTATTCTACTTATTTACAACCTTTAAGTGCACATTCATATTTACATAAGCTATACACTCATAAAAAGATTTAAACACATAAGAAGATGAAATTGAGCAGGTAAAAGGAACTGAATGAAGGGCAGGATATGTAATGTATTCAATGCAACATAGTAAAAATTGAAAAGGATCTTTTAGCCAATCGTAATGCATGTGAAAAAGGAATTTACAATAAATACTGTAAGATTCATAAAATACACCTTGCCTTTATGTTTTAGTTCACCTTACGCATTATCCTTTTTAGAAAATAATTTAAATTTTAGTGCATTTTGAGTATCTCAAGTGTTCAGACATGCTTTAAAGTATTCAAGTAAAAATTGTAAATTCCATTCTTAAGAGATTTAGATTTTTTTTTTGGTTGAAGACGAGAAGAATCATTGAAGCATAAACGTGAAAAGTGAAGAAATATTAAAGATGAAATTTATACGAAAGCCATTATTGGAAAGAAACCAGAATTTGACCGGTAAATATTTGACTGTGTGTATAAAAGTATAAATACAGATATAAAATTGGGTATCGCCGTCATCAAACAACATTTTTGATGATATAAAACTGGTTCTCCATCTTTACTTTTCAACTGCAAGTTAACAACTTCAGTAAACATCCATCCATCTAACATGCTTACCAAATTTATAAAGAATAAATAAATGCTAGATTGTGCTTTGTATAATACTAATAATCATAAAGAATAATAGTTCTTCAAGTCATTGACGAGAGAAAAAAAATGTGTTAATAAAAATGATGGCGTTCGATAATAAAAAGAAGCTGAAATTCTTCATCTCTTCTCTCATCTCCATCGACGACTGCTGATTGCTTACATTAAGTAAACAATAAATTTTTTAATGTACGCAGACGTATTTACTTTAGTAACGAATTCATTTCTTATGGAGATTATAAAAAAAATCATTTTTGTTGATTTTTTTGGGATTTGTAGTTCAGTTTTATGTACCAAACATCATGATTTGATTTGGACGGGAGGTCTTTCTTGTTGTTATCTGACTTTGATTGATTTAAGAGTTAAAATGATTATCTGAGTCATTCTATACCTCGTTTCCAAACATCAAATGCAATCAAAAAAACCAAAACAGCTTGTTTATTTGTAAAAAAACAATTGATTTTTCAAACTTTTCATTTCAATTGCACTTTATTGCATTTATTGACGCAAATCTATGTTTCAAATAAACTAAGGCTCTCGTTTCGATCTTCTGTAGGCGTGACGTGATACTTTTCAGGTCCGTTCTAACAATATTCCATTCGTGGGTAATCTTGTGGCTCTCGTTCCTATTTCTCCCACTGCACTTCAAGTTCCAGACTTGTTCCTTAATCCAATGTTGCCCAAATGCCCAATTATGGCTTGATCTCCTACATTAAGCAGTCGAAGTATCTAAACGTCTGAAAAAGAACAAATTTGGAAATGGCTGGATTCGAAACGACGACCTTCGAGTTACCATCCCGAATTTGAGCCAAGCGCCTTACCTATTCGACCAGCAAGGCACTTAACTGCTTGTAAAATATTTCATGTTTGCAAAAAGACTAGCTTTATTCTTCGAATATCTTCCTGACCAACTAATCCATTCTCCTGACTATGCCACGTGATGCAATATTTGTCTATAATTTGTATATAATGATGAAATACAAACAATTAGACATCCTAATAAATTAAGTACGGAAAAATAAATTAAAAACAAACAGCAAAAATCACCTTCATTATCACATGACCAATCAATCCTCACAGGCAAACACACAATCTACACTAATCAAAAAGGCAAAAGAAAAACAAATAGTAGACGTCACTTTATTGGATAAACTTACGTAAAGAAATATTTTTATGACATGTTGAACTTGTTAATTTTCGGCAATTAGCATTTGTGCCAATTTTTATGCAAGAATAATTTGTCTTTATGATTATTGCTTATTATAATATACACAATGTCACTTCATTCAATAGTCACTGGTAATAAATGAATGACAATAAAAAATAATTACAAAAACAAATAAAAAAAAGTTTCAAGCATAATGTTTATTGCTTTAATGCTGAGATTAATTTCACGCATATACATGAAAAAATATTAATTATTTTATATTGCAAAGACATTTGCTTTTATGACATGTTTAGATAAGTGAAAATAATAGAAAGCAAGGGAGCAAGAAAAAAATCAATTTTTTTAACATTCTTTTTATCACACTATGTGCTGGAATGATTATTTTTAAGTAGCGCAATATGCGGTTTGTGATAAATTGATATAATCGTGAGGGAGGGAAGTGTGAAATGCGAAAATGTACAATAACCATAACAATTTACTCGCTTTATTCCCTTCTAACAAGAAACCAGCTATATCACATTACATTTTATATGTACACATATTATACTTCTTACAATGTAATGAATTTACATCATCATTATATCGATTTACAAATTGCTCAAATTTTTTTAAGCATTTTCAGCTGAGAGAAGCTTAGCTTTGATTGAATCAAATGGATGTTGGGGAGTCGGTTTGTCTTGAATCTCTGTCTATTGTTGAAATGATTAGAGACAGTCTGTCTGTGACAGTTCAACCTCATTAATTTGTTTTATGAAATTATCCGAACGCTTCTTTACGGTTCAATTTATAGTGATTCTGCTATTGCTTGGTAGAAGATGCTCTCCACTAAGCTTTCTAGTTATGATATTGTACATTTATACACAAAATGTTAAATAAGTTTCTTAACTTGAGTTTAATTTGAAAAAATCAATTTCAACTTGAAAACAACTTCCGAAAATGCGCTCCAATCCCCTTCATCTCACTCTTACTTATTCATTGTTTTACGATCTCATTTTCTCCTTCTTTCTTTTTCATCTTCTGAAAAAAATACGGATTAATAAACATACATTCATGAGTATATGCTCACATATTTTATTAAATGCAATTCAATATGTGGTGTTCCCAAGAATATATTTTTTACGCTACTGAAAATCCATTTTTATGTAAAATAAAATCTTATATTATGTACTTTACGCCTCAAAAGAATCCTTATTGCTAAAGAAAAAAAATAAAATTTTGAATCAATATTGAATAATGAGATTCAGTTTTGATTTCAGATATAGTCTTCTTGATTTGATGGAAATCTCTTTCAATTTATGTATACATAATGTGAATTGATATGTGCTTGTGTGGCCAGTGGTTGCTGAAGATGTTTGGTTTTTTTTGAGAATGTTTGAAAAAGAGCAAATAGAAATGTTGTTGAAGATTCAATGAACTTTTATGATTTGGATATCTTATTTTGGAGATTTTTTAAGAATTTATCGATTTTAGCTTTAGTTTGGAAGTTTAGGATACTCCAAGTTTGTTTGTCTATCGAGACTAATGCTTTCGGACGGACAATTGTACAGTCAGTCTTATTTCAATGCTTAATTTTAGTCTTAATTGAATAAATTGAATTCCTTTATTGATCTGTTGAGTCCTGACACTAGAACTTCTAGGAAATCTAGAATAGATGCACTGAATCCAAGCTCTATATCAAGTTTATCGTGACTTGATTCTATCCAAATCGCAAAACATAACTTTACATGATAAATTTCCAACAAAATTCCCCTCTGGACATAACCTACTAAGCAGTAGCAATAACTCTCAATATATCTGACACAATTTTTGTGACAATAAAAATTTATACTGAGCATACGATTGATTAAGTCAATAAGAAGCTATAAAGAAACAAAATGCACTTTCATTTGATTGATTCATATAAAACATACCATTTATTCTTTATTTGCTCTATTATTTATTTTTATCCTATGTGCTATTTTTCATTTCTTCTTTTTCCTTATATTTATAGGTTTATCAGCACGGTGTGCAATGAAAGAGAAAAGTAAAAATGCTGCTCGTTCACGACGGGAAAAAGAGAATGCAGAATTTTTGGAGCTTGCTAAACTTCTTCCATTACCGTGTGCAATAACATCACAGTTAGACAAAGCATCAATCATAAGACTCACAACGTCGTACCTGAAAATGCGTCAAGTATTTCCTGATGGTATGTATTTACATTTTAAGTATGCAGAGCTATTCTCTGCGTGGGGTTAGAAAATTTATGCGACAGTCAAATTGCTCATGTAATTTCCAAATCCTTCAATGAGATTCAAAATTGATTAAGAGAAAATAGAAGGCAACTTCTGTTCCCTTTTTATTGCTCAGTTATGACATGAAAAATCTCAATGTCAATTTTCATTTCAAGATTGTTTTTAATGATGATGATGTTCGTAACAAGTTTGTAATTATTATGCATAAAAGTATGAATGTTTAATCCTCCCAGTGAGTTTAATGTTCAACTTACATTGGAATTTATATCGTCAAAAGATAAAGTTCCTACATACCAGCTGGGTCAAATTTTAATGAATCTACACAAAAAGAGAGAAAGATTCTGTAGGGATGAAGTTTTATGCAAATGAGACTGTAGGAAAAAAAAACATCTCAACTGCAATAACTACGATGACGACCAAAAGTATCTTGAAGAAATGCTCTTCATCTACTTCTCATTCATTCTTGCTCTTTTTCTATTCGGTTATTCATTCATTATGTTAGCAGAAATATTCAAACCTCCTCTCTCATTTCTTCAAGTTGATGAATAAATTAACTAAATGAAATACAATCAGAACGACATGAAGGAATTTTAATCCGCAATATTTTGTGTATATGTCTATGTACACGTTTAGATTATTTAAGTATTGTTGTTGAAATGTCCTCTGATTTTTATCTCTGCATCTCTTTCATGTTACGCATTTGTATCGAGACTATTTCTTTTTCACAAAGGTGAATTATCGTCTCGCGATGATCTTGAAATTTATTTCTTTTAATTCCTTTGAGTTGCTGAAAAGAGATCAAAATAAAGACATTTTTCTTTTTTGAAGTGTTGGCGACACACAAAGAAGGAATCTTGAGTTTTGATAATTGTTTACAAAGAATTTTTATTAACTAGATTTTGAAAGAAGAAACCACAGTGGATGAATAATGAGAAAACGGAAGTAATTGTGCGTAATAAAAGAGTCAAAACCCACTCATAATTATTTACAATTTTATTCTTTATTCATCACAATTGAAATGCGAATAATACAATTAGAAAATCATGAAAATTCTTCATTCTCGAATAAATTTGTCACCCTTCCTTTATTATCTTAAAGCGATACGATATTATTATTATTACTCAAGCATATGCTTCACTCCCCACTGCTTTTTACAAAGCAGTTCAACTCAAAAGTGCATACGTTCAATTAAATCTTGTTTGCTGAACAAATACACCAACCACCCCGAGATTTGTTATTCTTTTCATTTATATATGAAGAGAAATCTCAATTCACAGAACTTATAGGATAATTCCATGGGTTTTATCATTTTTCTTAACAAACTTTGTGTTAAATTGCGAAAATCGGTGAATTTTAAAACGCATTTTTGAATTCTTCTATTCTAAAATGAGTAAATAGGTTTATTTCTAACCTATACAGCATCGAACTGTGTCTAATAATTAAATTAAAGTTTTTTATTTGTAAATTTAGTGTTCAAACTGCAAATTAAGTCTGAAAATGAAAACAAATTTGAAAGGGGTTCAAAACTATGCACAAAAAATTCAAACATTACGAAAACTTTTAAAAACAGAATCAATAGACAATGTGCTGCACAACCCCTTTATATAAAATTTCAAATCAAAGCGTGCAGTCACAAAAAAATGTTGTTTCTTCACCGCACTTCTCTCTTTTCCTGCTTTGTCATTTAACTGGTCGATTTCATTAATATGAATCGTACAATTGTTAAGGTTATGCTCATTATTATTCTCATACACTCCACATGTCAACAAATTAATCACAATAAAATGTAAAATGCATACTCCCACACAGTTTGATGTTAAAGAATGCCCTCGAGGTGCTCTTCCGTTGGATGTTATCTGAGAAAAAAGTACATGAAAAGGAAAATTTTCCTTTTGAAAGAATTTTTTTCATCTCATTCAGTTCCACTTTTCCAACTTCAAAAAACTTGCTTTAACCTTGTCATGGTTTTGATTCTTTTGAAAACTCAAATGAAAAAAGAATTGCTTGTTTTGCAAAAAAAAGAATCAAGCACGATTTTATGCTGACATTGGGAATGTTATTGAACCGGCAGACATTATTTATTATCGTTATTACAATTGTTTTCATAAGTAAGTGTCTATTTACAAGATTTTAATTTACTTTTTAAATACGATGAGAGAGAAAAAAAGAATCTTTATTGGGGGAAATAAAATCTGGTCGCATAACGGATGCATTAAAATAATAATAAGAGCATACTTTGTTTGAGATTTCCAAACTATACAATGTTGATGTGAGCTTAATCATTATTCTTCATTGAATCATTGTAATTTTACAATTTTTGAACTTCCAAACTGGAAACTTGAATTGATTTGAGATTCCATCATGTGCTGCTCGGAACCGTCACAATTTGTCATTATTTTTGTTATTTATCACTGGAATTAATGGTCGAAAGATGCATACTGCTTCTGTTTAATTAAGTTTTTTTTCATATTTGTAACTCTCTCGTACTTTATTTAATAGGATTAGGCGAGGCGTGGGGTGCACAGCATATTCCCTCAAATCCACGAGAATTGGCAATAAAGGAACTCGGTTCACATCTTCTTCAAACATTGGACGGATTCATTTTCGTGGTAGCACCCGATGGAAAAATTATGTACATTTCAGAGACAGCGTCTGTGCATTTAGGATTAAGTCAGGTGAGAAGGCGAATATTTACATTTTACAACGTGATAATAATAACGATGATTTAGAGGAATTAAATTTACTAAATAATTTATTTACATTGATTTATGCAGGTGGAATTAACGGGAAATTCAATTTATGAATATATCCATAATTTTGATCAAGACGAAATGGCTGCTGTACTATCATTACAACAAAATATGTATGGCCATCAAGTTCATCCGTTACAAGCCCAATTACAACAACAGCAACAACAACAATCAAATCAAATGCAAATCCCATCAAATTTATCACCCACACAATTAGATTCAGCAACACCTCCACTCGTTCCACTTGTCCCACCAGTACTTTCAAATAATTCAACAAATATTCCATCCGTATCGAATCCCATTATGAATAATCAAGCTAATAACCATACATTCAGTCAACATCAGTCACAACACCTACATAATGCACATCATCATCATCAATCATTAAACCAAAATCATCATCATCCGCATCATCATTCACATCAACGTCATCAGGAGACTCAAACGATTGAAATTGAGCGAACGTTTTTCCTTCGGATGAAGTGTGTGTTGGCAAAAAGAAATGCTGGTCTAACGACTTCAGGCTATAAGGTAAATTAGTTCATATTCTTTTGTTGTTCCTGTCGTTGCTAAATTAGATGCATCAGCACGTCAAAACATGCATAAAAAGAGAATCTAGCACTTCTATTTTTGTATTCTTAATTAATCATTAGCTTTTGTAATCCTTTCATTTTTATTCATGTTCCATTAAAATATTTTCCTCAATCAAAGGCTTGGCTTTCAAGTGCATATATATGCTGCATTTTTCTACATTATAAATGCTTTCAGTAAAACATTGTAGACGAAATTAGCATGTAAAAGAATTTTCCATTAATGAGCCTCAAGTGCATCTGTAGTCGATGACTAGATGAAAGATTTAAAGAAAAAAGAAATTTTAATGATTGTCAATTATGCAATTTGTACGAGCATGCATGTCTTGAGTTTGGATTTTAAATGCAGTTTTTTGTAAGATTTTATTGAAATGTTAATTTTTAATGAATCAGGTTGACAAACAATGAAAAACCTAAGAAAAATAGAGAAATTTTTTAAAAGCTGTAAAACATTTCATTTAATATTATCAGAATGTTAAAATATGTGTTTGCTATCAATTTGTCACAATGATTCTACAATAATCTCTAAAATTAGATTGCTAGAAACAAAATAATGAACTAATCAAAATGCGATATGGAAAGTCCGCGAAAAAACTGAGAATTATTAAAATTCTAGATCAATTGTTAAAAGTTGAAAAATTTGAATTTCACAGTTGGTTTAAAATACTTTATTTACAACTCAGCACATTTATACCAAACATTAATACTTAATAACAGCACATATCTATGAATTCATGTGGGTTTATTCAGTTATTCATGTTATACTAAACTCTCATTACCAAACACTGAAATTCCATAAAATTTGATCTGAAAACACATATCATTTAACATGAGTTGAAGAATTTTACTTCCTTACCGAGAACTCATACAAATAATTTTATGCATAACAGTTTTTAGTCAAGACAATTTGCAACAATGTACTACAAAGTGCCTTAAAATATAAAAATTTGCGATTTATTTATTGAGTTTTAGTCACGTATAATTATTATTGTTTCCCGCATATTCAGAAAGACCATTTTACATTGTATACTTTTCATTTTCACTCTCTTTCTCATACATATATTGTGCTATAGTGTTTCAGATTTTCAATCAGCGTGAATTTTCATTTTTATTTTATTTTTATTAAAATTACTGTTGAAACTCAATTTTTTTCCATCTTCTTTTACTCAACAATGTTTGTTGTTTGCTGAACGCTTTTTATGAACAAAATCATTATTGATGTCGATATCATTTGCACATCCAATTACTGAACGAAATCTGATAAGAATTATTATTTTTTTTTTCTCATTTAGGTGATACATTGTTCAGGATACTTAAAAGCTCGAGTATATCATGATACAAACTATAATGGTGAAGGTAATGGACCGACTTATGTCCAAAATTTGGGTCTCGTTGCTGTTGGACATTCACTACCTCCATCGGCTATCACTGAAATTAAACTTCATCAAAATATGTTTATGTTTCGAGCGAGTATGGATCTCAAATTAATTTTCCTCGATGCACGGTGAGTTAATGTTGTTATTCTTATTATTATGTTCTGAATGTGGCTATTCTCGTTGAAAATATATCCAAAAATCGATATTTTTCTTCATCCTATAGACTACTTCATTCAATTTCATAGGGAGAGGAAAAATGACAGCACAAATAATAATAATAAACCAATTTGATCATTTTTTGCTTTACTCTGCAAATATTTGCTCTTTTACCGATCTCAATGAAAAATAATATCGAAGAAAATTCTATCCGTCTACTGTAGATAAATTTATAGAAAATGGGATACTTATTTACTTAAATTCATGCAGATTTATACATCCAGCTCCATTATTCTTTAAATCTGAGACTTTTTATTGAATCAAAATCAAATTTAAATTCTTATTGATGTGAATTGTTTTCATTTAAAAGCAAAAAAACTTTTTAAAGTGCTTGTAGAGCCTTAAATTAACATTTCCTATAGATTTGGAATCGTTTAGTGGAAATTTTTCACCTGGATCATTAAATTACTTATAATTATTTGCATAATTTTCACAATTTATCTCAAATTAAGTTTCAATATTCACCATACAATTTGAATTAAACTTAGATACATTCTAAAACCATAGAAAATTTGTGAAATTCTTCCGTCGGGATTGTTTTGACAATCTTAACTTTTCTGACTACATTTCTGCATTCTTTCAATAATGATCCGCAATTTTACTTCCAAAATCATTTTAAAAGAGTCATAAGCTACTAAAATACCATTAATATTTAAGTAAAGTTCATTACCATTTCCATTCATTCATTCATTCAAAAAATCTAAAATTCACGACAGTAACGTCATCTGTACATGAAACTCTTAAAACTGAAAATTTCTACCCCAAAAGATATTCAAACAGGAACTAACCAGCATTTTAATATCAATATCATATTTTTTATGATGTGAACAGCCACTTGTGTAAATCTTGTTTGGTTTTAATTGGATATTAATTTACAATAAAAAATTCTTTTGTTTGTCTTTTATAGAGTATCACAACTAACAGGATTTGAACCACAAGACTTAATAGAAAAGACATTATATCAATATATTCATGCATCCGATATTCTTTCTATGCGATATGCTCATCAAATCTGTAAGTATCTATAGACAATCTAAAGCATTCAATTAGGCAACGACTAATATCGAATTTCATATTTTAGTGATGTACAAAGGACAAGTGACGACAAAATATTATCGATTTTTAACAAAAGGTGGTGGATGGACATGGGTACAAAGCTATGCAACAGTCGTACATAATACTCGTTCATCACGTCCACATTGTATTGTTAGTGTTAATTATGTACTTAGTCAGAAAGAAGCCAAGGACCTTTTACTTAATGAAGTTCAAGGAAATATAGTAAGACCGACAATATCAACTGAATCAACACCGCCGTCTCAAAGCCGTACTTCAACAATTACAAATATCACAAATACACCAATTCATACGCCACTGTATCAAACACCACATCATTCTACTCCATCAACTGCATCAAGTCTACCCAGTCATACGCCGAATCAACAGATTCATATGAAAGAAATTCATAATTTTCATCATATTAGTAATAATAATAATAACAATAATAATCACATGCACATATCACATAATGAGAATAATCACCATCAGCATCATCATGCACATCATCAGAATGAATATGATCAATACAATAATTCTTATATCCATAATACAATGAACAATGACGAGTTTAGTGATAATACAGATAATTATTATAACTTTTATATGGACAATAGTAGCAATGGACTTCCAACTTCACAAGGTGATTCAAATGTTTTAAGACCATTCTCAGCTGCTTCAAATAGCTGCTCAAGTTCAAGTTCTGATGATCAACATCAGCATCTTTACAATCACCAGCAAATAAATCACACAAATCTCAATCATCAACATTATGATAATGACTATTCATTCTCATTTCCAAATTGCTTCCCATCCATGAATGAGTCGTCAAATGCATCTACAATCTATAATAGTGATTTTAAAGCAACAACAAATGCACATTATACGAGTGTTATTGTTGATAATACAAATAATCAAAATTACCTTACGAATGAGTTTGTCCATTGAATAAAGGAAGTATAAAATATTAGTTGTCATTAGTTTTTTCATCAAGATCAATTCATCAAGTTTTAAAGACATTAAGCTGTATTTTTTTGACTTGTAAATATTTGTTTTATACTGAATATGAATTAGATATTTCAATTTTAACTCATTGTATATCCAGGAACTGATTTGAGAAATCTTTTGATGATGAATTTAGTAAAACAAGCATCTGAGCTTATTTGAACCAAATTGTTTAAATTTTTTTCCTGAAATGATTTAAATTAAGTTTTAAAATAAAAATTCGATGAATGTATTAAATTGAAGAAATTTTTTATAAGTTGCAGTTTGACAGAAATGACAATAAGTCACTATGTAAAAGAAACCAGTTCTCATTTTCTAAAAAAAATTCTACTTTTATTTTTAAATTATTATATTTTTATTTTCATTTGAAACATAATGAAGAATGACTAGAATACATGAACAGAATGAATATATTTAATGAATGAATTACTTATTAATAAAGAATTGTAATCACATTTAGATTCAACAAAAGACACATTGTACTGGATGAACCATGATAAAGAAAATATTATTAGTATCATTTGGGGATTCTATAACAGATTAGAAAAATTTATTGAGTTAAAAATGTTCAATGATATTTAAGAGTCATTCGCAATTGACGTTCAAAAAAGGTAGTCGAGATCTACTAATTTTCTAATTCTGAACGTCAAAGGTGGATGAGTTCTTAAATTATGTATATTATGAAAATCATGCTAGATCTTGCGAAGTTAAAGCATTTATCAATATACCAAGAATCAAACAACCTAAATTGAAATCTGACTAGATAACGAATTCTAATGAAAGTTTTAACATAATTGAATTAATTGTAAGTTTAAAATCCCATGAATGTGTAATTAATTGTAACATAAATTAATATATTATATAGAACTTAAAAGAATCGATTTGTCTCCCCCCGTTAAGTAAAAAATTCAATAAGAATGTATGATAAACATTTAAGGAATAAAACCAGTTTAGGGAAGAAATAACTGTTTAAGATATGAAAGAAAACAATAAAACAATTTATAAAACTTTAGATCTCATAAAACTTTTAATGTCATTAATATTTAAATCGATAATTATTTTGATCAAAATTATCAAGGTACCCTCACGCGATTCAACCTTCATCTTTATTACGAAACAGTCACTTTTATTTTCTTATAGTCGTGCCAGCAATACTTAAATTGAGCTTTCAACAAAGTTCTTAACCGTCCTCAACGATACAAACTAGATCTACTTAAAATTAGGAACATTTTATGCTACATCTTTAAAATCTTATCTTACTCGAATAAATCACGATAAAGTGTTTAGTTGAAAAAGTTTAACTTGTTTTTATCATAATTTGTGCTTAATTTTAATGGTAAGAATCACAATTGATTGGAAATTTATGTATGTTTTAAGATCTTCTTATCATTGAGGTTTAATATAAGGAATTGGTTAACAACTCAAATTTAAAGCTATAATTCGAATAGTGTTTTAAAAATAAAATTGAACTCTAATCAGGAGATGAATGATATCCGAGGAATATCTTATTAAGAGTTGTTAGCAAAATTAAAAGATTTTTTCATAAAGTTTATCACTAAATGGAATTTAATTAAAACTTAAAGACTTGATCAAGAGAAAAATAGTTATTGGCACATGTTTTGAAACTGATTGAGTAACTATCAAGTTTAATTAAAAAGATTTCCTACAAAGATCAATTTTTCACTACTTTTTGAATGGTCCTTAAAAATTTGATTTTCTAAAATGTTAACATTATCAGTTTTAAAAGGTCACTGTCTAACTAGCTACTTGACTATGTTCATAAAATAGTTTCAAAGAATCAGTTGAGTTGGATTGTTATCCTTTTAAGTTTACATGCAGTATCACTAATGGAGCATTCCGACAAGCTTTCTTCACTTATCGCTATTTTCTTCTTCTCATTTCTAAGATTAGAGTCTAATGGAAGTTTCCCGACTGTAAAAATCTGCGATTTCATTGACATCTTTGTAGTCATTAAATGTTCATTCTCATTGACATGATTCTGTCTAATTAGTTGTTGATTTTGTTTCTCTAACTCCATACATTCGACACAGTAAATTGGTTTTTGATGATTGTCATAAATGCTTACATTTCCCTTCCTCGATTTTATTTTATGCTTGCTCTTTTGCTTCATTGTATGAACGTTTCCATTGCTGTTAACATCTTTGACATAAATTTTATTTCTCTTAAGTTTCACATGTGATGGTGAAGTGGGAACTTTTCTATAATCGTAATATCTTCTCTCGTCTACTCTATAGCCATTATGATCAACAGGTTCACTTCTATAAAATGTGATTCTTTGATCTGGATAGAAGTAGTCAAACATCTCATCTTTTATTGGCGATGACGAAGTGTCAACTTTTTGAATTGAAAGCTTCTCGATTGATGTTTGACAATATGATGACTTTTTAAATGAACGTTGTTGATGAATGCCTGATGATTCTATATCCGTCGACGATGGAACATGAACACTCGATATAGAATTTGATGTTTTCTGTGAAATGTTTGAATGTCGTGTAGCACCAATATGACATCGTATAGATTTCGATGTTGTAAATAATGCACGAACATTCTTTTCAGGATGGAATAAAATGATGTAAATTTTCGGAAAGAACATAAAGGCCAACGTCATTATTGATGAGAGTGATGTACACAAGCATTTTGTAATTATTTGCATTTCACTACCATAATAAATTGGAAAGAATGCCAACCAAATTATGCATGTTGTGTAGATTGCAAAACCGACAAATTTCGTCTCATTGAAGTTTTCAGGAACATTTCGGGTTTTGATGGCAAAGAATACATTCAATAGAATCAGAATGAAAATGAATGTGAGTGGCGCGAGAATTGTTAATGGAGATTCTTTACAGACCAGAATTGTTTGTAAATGTCGCGGGTATTGAAATTCAATTTCTGGCTGTTCTATTATTAACATTCCTATGGCTATGATACTCTCAATCGTGACTAAAAGAAATGCAAGAACAATCTGTGAGAGCGGTGACATAAATTTAAGTTTCTTTGTTGGAAATCGTTTCTTGGATATTGCCAAAAGTCTCGAGATTCTATTAGTCTTGATCAGCAAGCTTCCATAAATCATTGAGAATGAAATGCCTGGCAATGTTCTGGACAGCGCACAAATTTTAGTTGTTGGATGAGCAAGTATTGAAAATATTGATAAATGAGACATAATCATGCCACAAAGTACTATGTAGCATAGCTCACGAGTTGATGCTTTAACAACTGGTGTATTATTATAATGGATGAAAATGATGAGAACAATTGCTGATAAAATAGTCCCGAAAATTGAGAACGATATGGATATGATAGATTCAGTGTCAGTCCATTCTAAATACTCGATTGGATTTTCAACACATTCTGTCGAATAAAAAAATAAACATAAAAATGAATTTAAGTTTTTGTGTGTGGGGTTTGTTCATAAATGATGTCAAATAAGAAACAAGCATGAGGAAGCTCTGAATCTGTGTTCCATCAAATGGCCATACATATATGCATATTTTGGAAGCATTGAGGGCCTGGGAAGAGTGGGGAAGTAGTTTTACATCATTTATGAACAACCCCATCCATAAACACATTAAACTGTATCATAAAAACTATAAATTCATACCTGTCTGATCTGCATTTGGCCACCAACCTTCCTTGCAATTCTCACAATGCGTTTCATTTTTGAGGTATTGATTGTCATCGCATGGTGCACAATTGAAACAGCAGTTTTGTTGCTCTGGGGTATCTTGAATCTACGAGAGCATAAATAACGTTTTATTTTTACGGTTAATGTCATGAAACAACCAACATGTATTGCTTTAAAATAATTTATTCGACAATAAATTGAATTTTTGTAGGTTATGAATATTAAATAATTCAATTTACACCTGCATGTTCATGCATCAGCAAACATATGTATTAATTACCTTATAATATCCTTTTGGGCATGGATCAGAACAAACTGACTTCACAAACACCACATTGGGAGGTGATTGGAGTGGTTTGAATAAATTTAATGTATGATTGATCCAGTCACCAATCTGTACATAGTCATAAGTTCCATCTTTATTCAGTTGAAAATTCATTATGTCATAACGAGCAGTGACATCGCCTTCCTGATTAAACTCGATTAAATCCTTCTCGTTTGTCGTAAATGACACATTCATTAAGTAGTTCTGGAAGATAATATACATAATTAAGTACTATTGTTATGGATGTTGACAGAATCATCACTTACGAAAAATAATGAGTGATTAAATGATTTTTTGAGATTTTGACACGCTCCAACATAATCTCTTCCGCAAATATCATCCTTATAAGCCTGTAAAGCATACGCATATGTGTACAATGCTTTTACGAGAAAGCTCAATTTTGGCTCTTGTTTGTGATTCCTGCTCAAATTTTCATGGCCTGTTGATTAAGAGAAATACAGAGAAAAATGAGTAAGTTCTCTCAAAAAGCTCCAAGAAGCACGTGCATGCTTTACTATAAATTCCATTCATTCATAAAAAATAATATTCTCTCTGTATATTAACAGACTGTAACAGCTGAGTAAAGTACGATAAAAAAAATGAGGAAGAAAATTGCTATCAAGTCAAGCCAGCGGAATGTGTAATAAGAGGATGATGACTCATTAAAGAAAACAAACAGACAGAGTAATTAAATGTGAAACACATTTCCATTGTAAGCGATTGACTTTACTCAAACTTTAAAGGATCTATATTGTGTATGGAACAGATAACATTGAAGTATATTGTAGGAGGAGATTATTTGCTTTTCAAAGCACTTGAAAAAGTTCAACATTTTCTAACTTCCTTTTGGAATCAAAATAAAAAATAAAGCTTTGTCAAGTGCTCCACATTTTGATGTTTACTGTCTGAGATTAATTTATTCAGCATTGAATGAAATGAAAAATTACGAGAGGAGGTTCCGTATCATCATCAGATGAATATCATCACGATATTATGACATACTTATTAAAATATTGAAGTATATGCCAGCATATTCACATTTACGTAATGAGGAGCATGAAAAGGTTCAAATATAAAAGAGGAAAAAGGCATTGAATAAAAATAAATTTATATTTATAGCATTCCTTTTATGTGTTAAGTCTGAGAGAGTCGAGTGTTAATGCATTTTCGCCCCGGTGGTTTATGAACTTTAATTGGGAAGGCATTTTTTGTGCTTTTTGATATTTATGAGAACTTCTCTAAGAGGTTTAAACTGATGGCTTATGATAAAATGCGCCTAGATCATTACTTTTCAAGCTCACATCCTCAACTCTTTTGTGCAAACGATACAAAGCCAGTTCCATAAACTATATGCGTACATAGAACAGCGTAGATTTATAATAAATGCATAAACTGTATGAAGTCATTTACCTGTGCAATATGGAGTTTTTTGAGCAGTGACTGGAAGAGCCATTAAATATTCTGGATCGATTTCTGTATCATTATCATTTAATGTGATTGGAAGTTCTGTTGTTGTCGTAGTCACAATTCTATTTAATGGCATTTTACAATGAAATTTATCTTCCCAAAATTCCCTAAACCAAGGATTTCGGCTATTGTTGAATGGATCTAGTTTTAGATACTCGTCGTCAAAAGAATGAAGGTATGGTGAATGGATTCTAATAGAAATTGAGCCAACCGCTTGTGCTTCATAATCTGTTACGACATCCTGTCTATCTGCCCATCCATCACTTCCGATAATGATAAAATTATTCGTCAAATTCAAATATTTGATTGCCATAAGTAATTTCCGAACTGTTAAACCTTCACAAAAGCATACAATAACGTGAGCTTTCTCATCTTCTTCCAAGTTCCTTATTAGCTCCTGAAACTTTTCATCGTCGTCATTACTGAGAATCTTTGAATAGAAAAAAAGGCAAAAAGATGAAGGAACGACATGATGAAAAATTAACATTTCCTGTTCCTTTCTTTTATGACTATGAAAAGAAATTTAAATTAGATTGTAGTTCCATCTTACCGAGTCTTCTTTCGCTATGCAGATGTTATTCTTATCAGCTAATTCACGAAACGCTTGTATTCCACTCTGTCCATAATTTTCGTCTGTATGAACAGTATGAATGTAAGTCCAGTTGTTAATTTTAACGATATCAACCATGACCTGCGCTTGATAATAATCTGATGGAACAACGCGCATAAATGTAGAGAATCTTGCCTTGTCTGACAAGTCTTTTGAAGTTGTTGAATAGCCAACTTGTGGTATTGAGAATAATTGTAGTAAATTTTGGACCTGAAGTGCAATTGAACTAGAAGCTGGTCCAACTATGCCAATTAAAGTTGCATCGTCATTTGGATGAATTTCATTTTCAAAATTGTTTGAACATTGTGAGTGATGTTGACTTAATGTACTTTTACTTTGATGTGGAATAATGGAGTCGCGAATAAGTTCAATGGTTTGTTGAAGTGCTATCGGGGCATACCAGCATGAATCACGAATTTCCACACCTAATTTTATATCCTTCAATAACTCTTGATCCCGATTAATTTTATCGATTGTTTGAAATATGACCTCGACTCTTTGAATTCCATAATGCTCTCGAATCTGCAATATGCAAAAAAAAAAAAGTAGAAAGAAAATTTGCTTATTCATTGATTCTTTACTTTGTTTGACTTGAGCATTGCATGATTGATATATTGCCAAATATTTAATATTTCACGTTTTCAAGGATAACGACCGTTATTTACCGTTTATTTATTTTGAATTTTGTTTAAAATTTCCGAGATGATTATAAAAATTCGAATTCAAATTAACCGTTATGAATTTTTCACTTAAATTATGCAAAATCATTTATCTAGAACAACCTCGACAAACTCCATCTAATTAAGCTGTTCTAACGATAACTATTCATTTACATTTTATCATAATAACAGCTCACAAGGGATAAAAGAACAAAACAGGTGAACAGAATCGCGTGCATAAGTCTAATTGATGTCGTACAAATAATAGTGTTATTCATATTTTCTAGTCGATAATTTAATCACTTGTGACGCTTTTCGCAAAGTGTCTCCCAGCAAGCATGACGTTAATTTCTTTTAAAAGAGAGAGATTTACACAAGCAAGAGAATTCCTGCTTTAATAAGGAATTAATATTCAATGTTTTAGCGAAAAAATGTATGAGAAAGTCTTGAGCGATTAAAACGGAAGTAAGTAAAATTATGTCCAGCAATTTTTCCTTTTTACTCGATGGATTACTCTATATTAATATTTTATGTTATATACTAAAACATTAGGATTAATTATGCACTCAACAATTAATTCATCAAATTAGTTTTTCTTTGAGTAAATTATTAATTAAATAATTCACTGGGTATGGGGGAGGGGGGTCGTTCCCAAGTTATTTACAATATTTAAGCTGAGACAGAAATTATTCAAAAGTAGTACATAGAAATAAATCCTTTCATGGGAGGGGGGTGTCTAAAATGCATTATTATCTTAACAAAATTTATGAACTAGCTCCTAGTCAATTAATATAATTTTATTAAGTCATGCGCAAAGCGATTATGCTTAGCATATTGAATTAAAGAAGTATTACGTTAGAAGAAAACATTCAAACATATTCACGTGGACGGTTTATTCAGACATAGACTTTTGTATCATATGTTTTTGTATGTTCAGTAATTTTTTTGCTCGGCAAAAATAGTAAACTTATTATTATTTTAATATTTATTAATGAATTGAAGTGAAAGATAGTATGTTACGTAATTTAAAATTTTGTTCAGCTATTACACATCAATTAAAGTTTGTCAGAAATGCGGGTCATTCGAAATGGGCGAATATTAAAGTGAGTTATGCATAATATTTTATGTTGTGTTTATTTTTGACACTGGCTACTTAATTTTCAACTGTGAATAGCTTATTTAATACTTGTTGGATTTAAAATAGCTGTCAGGTGGTGCTTTGAATAGCCTCCAAATTTGTGGGGGCTAAACAATTGCACCGAAAAATGATAAGTCCATAACACTAGAGGATAAAAAATCCGAAAAATGAAAAATAACGAAGGGACAATAAGGCCACTTATAAAACTTTAATTTTCTAAGTGGACTTAATATTTTTTCTGCAAGACAATAAGTCCACTTAGATAAAATCAAAATAGATCAAAATTTAAGGTTTTAGCAATATTTATAACTGACAATGTTTTTTTAAAGTTTTTTTTGAAGTTTTCAAAATTTCGCAAACATGCGGCAGAAAGTCAAGAAAATCCAAGAGAGTACATACGAAAATATATATTATGGTAAAATTATAATGAATTGATACATTGTTTGAAGTTTAAAGATTATTTAAGATAGAAAATTAAGAAAAGTAAAGTTTAAGGCTAAATTTCACACGCTTCAAATTTACCATAAATTAGTCAATATTCAAACGAAAGTTGAAACCTATTGTATAGATTTTTTTCTTTTTAAATTAATTTATGAAAAATTGATGCAAAAAGTTTGTTACGGCTGAGTTAAAATCAAGTAAAATTGCTGAAATCTACACAACTCAATTCAAAAATTGAAAAATCTTAAATATCATTTGTATGGAAAACTTGATCAAGTTGATACTTATATTCTATAAAAAAAAACTTGTAGTAAAAAGTGAATTTACCCGCATCAAAAAAGTTTAAATTCGACAATTTTATGAAAAACAATTAAAAATGCTAAAACTTTTTAGCGCATTTGAAACTTGTTTCAAGAAGGTAGCATAATAATGCACTTTGTTCAGCTGCTCGTTCGAGCGAAGAAAAACTATTTAACCAGATATCGTAGAGAGCTCGGGTTTGTTTTATTAGCTCAGTTCTATCGAGTTATTGACCGATCGAACAGTTAAAAGTCTTAAAACAATGTATTTATCGTATTTATACTCCAATAATGATTTTTTTATTTCATATGAAAATCACCTGATGGGTGCGTTCAGAAATTTGAATTATCAAATAACAATCAATAACACGAGGACTTCTGTAATTTTTTTACCTGATCAATATTTTCTTGCAAAATTAAGAATGTTTTGCACAAAAAAAAACAATAAATCCACTCACTGTGAGGTAATAAATCCACTCAAGTTTTGAAGTGATCGTATTGCCTCATAGTGAGATATTAAAGACGATTCCAAAAAATGTTGCGAATTTATTAACTTCAAGTAAAGACAAAAATCCCACATACAAATGAAAGTGATTCTTTTACCCGCACGTGAAAATAATTATTTAATCTTAAATTTTGATTTTATCTAAGTGGACTTATTGTCTTGCAGAACAAATTTTAAGTCCACTTTGAAAATTAAAGTTTTATAAGTGGCCTTATTGTCCCTTCGTTATTTTTCATTTTTCGGATTTTTTATCCTCTAGTGTTGTGGACTTATCATTTTTTGGTGCAATTGTTTAACCCCCACAAATTCGGGGGACAAAATTGTTTTAATTTATGGAAATCTATAGAAATCTATGGATCTAAAGATTTTCTATAATCTTTTATTTGGCCTAGATATTGAATGAAAATTGTTATGTAGTAATCCACGAAAAACTTCTCATATGCTTGTTATACCATTTTGATAAATATAGATACGTTTTAAACTTTGTTATGCTTAGGAACTGTTTCTTAAACTAAGAAGTTAAAATCAATATAATTTTTCCATTTTCGAGCATTTCTTTAAGGTCTGGTACAGTTGTGTCTTTTATTATCCTGAATTTTCCTATAATTCCCAAGAAAGTATCGTTAAATAAACACGACATCCAGCATTAAAAGCAGTGTTGCAAATGTAGATGTCTACACTAGATGAAGAATGTAGATTCTTCAATAGTTTTTGTCTAGCTAAGAAACTTTCTTCATAAAGATCGATTCTACATGTAGAAAGAAAAAAACCATCTACATGTAGATTGTGTCTACATGTAGAATCTGTCTACATGTAGATTCGATGTAGATGTCTATAATTCTACATTTTTTCCAGGTCTACATCAGAGAAGAATGTAGAATCGTAGACATCTACATTAAATCTACATGTAGACAGATTCTACATGTAGACACAATCTACATGTAGATGGTTTTTTTCTTTCTACATGTAGAATCGATTTTATGAAGAAATTTCTGTCTCAGAATTTATCTGATCCAGACAAATAGCCAGAATGCAACACTGATTAAAAGATCTAATTCCACTCCAAAACAAATACAAAGAGAGGAAATGGAATCGATTTTCTCAGCAGTGCCAACCTAATACTACCGCTCATTAATATGTAAATTACCATGACAACTTCGTGGTATTAAAGAATAAACCATTAACAAATAATTATGCATTTTCCATTAATCCAAATTTTCGTTTCTAAATATACAGCACACAAAAGCTGAGAAGGATGGGGAGAAGGCAGCGTTATTTATGCGATACACGCGCGCTATAAGAATCGCAATTCAGGAGACGAATCAACCGAACCCAGCTTTTAATTCTAAACTATCATCAATTATTAGTGAGGCACTTAAGAAGAACATGCCAATGGCAACGATTAATAAAAATATTGAAAAGTTCAAAACACAGCAAGTGCAGTTGAAGAAGCATGTTATCGAGGCTAAATGTTGCAATAGAATATTTCTCATAGCTGAACTTTACACAGAGAATTTAGCTTTGCTTAAAAGCAATATAAATATATTGTTCAAAAAGGAAACAAAGTCACAGCCAGCAAACTGCAAGCACATGTTTGATGAAATTGGAATAATAGAAATCTCCCTGCCTGAAACAACATGTAAATCATCATCAGAATTTGAGGATCAAATCACAGAAGATGCTATCGAATGTGAAGCACAGGAGGTTGATGACGTGAATTTTGATGACAAAACAGCCACTATCATTTGTAATCCCGAACACATTGATAGAGTAAAGGGTGAATTGATGAAACGTGGTTATGTGATTGATAATAGCGAGGGACTTTTCATTCCGCACACCACAATAAGCATAACAGATGATGAACGAAAACAATACGATTCACTAATCAAGCGAATTACACAACTTGAAGGATTTGATAAAATATTTGATAATGTAGTGACTGAATAAAGACAAGCAAAAAGAGTTTTAGGAAAAGTTTACAAGTTTAAGGATCATTGGGAGAAGTTTAGGCTGTCTGTAAATGACTGGTTGATTTAATTACAGAAAGTTCAAATGTTCTTTATGACTTTTTTCCTTTCGTTTAATTCATTCGCGGTTTACAACGCAAAAAAACTTAATTTTCTTTCCACGTAAAATCCTCAAATTTCTAGAGAAATAATCAGCATACTGCGAAGGTGTAATTAGTCTTTTATTAATCTAGTTAATTGTTTAACATTATTATCAAATATTTATCAGAGTATAAATATCATTGGCAATTAATGTCGCAATAATTTATGCTAATTTACACATAAAAGCTTTAAAGCTCAAATTCCATCACATTTTTTTGTAGCTTTTCATTTTCTTTTCCTTTTGTTTTTTGTGTCAAGGAGAAAAGGCATTATTTAATTACAATGGACGGCAGTTTGTTATCAGATTAGTAAACATCTGAGCATTTATTTCAAGGGTAAGACACTCCAAAAGTATTGTAAGTATTGTACAATACCTACAATACTTACAATACTTGTATGAAAAGTATTGTAGGATTGTACAATACTGGGGGTCCTCGATTTGAGTAGTTGTTTTGTTCCAAAAAATTTCTACTCAAATCGAATCTATTCAAATCGAGGCAAAGAATCCATACAAAATCACATGTTTTGTTCCAGAGTCCAAAAAATGTATCAAAACAAAGAAAATTTTGATAATTTTTTGCACATTTTACCTCGTTTCTTAGCTTTTCCTATGTGTTTTTGACACCTTAATTTATTTCAACGCATATTCATATTGTTTTTAAACAGAAATTCACAAAAAATATGTTTTTGAAACAAAAAAAAAATATGAGAGCTTTGCAAATGGGCAATTCCACGGATTGATTTTTTCAAAAATTTCGTGTTTGAGATCATTTTTCTCTTAATTAGGCAATTTAGACAGTCCAACGACTGTGCATACTTATGTAAAACGCCGAGTTCTATCTTCTGGATGTTACTGCTTCTTTCTATATGGGCAATTCCACAGATGAGTGGAATTTCAGAAAAAGCAAATTGTAATTCTTTTTCTACTTGTAGATTTGAATTTCAAAAAACCGTTAGATTTTGGAATAATAAAAACTTGAGAAACAAACAAATTCGATTATTCTACATATTTTATAAATCTTGCTCAAAACCATAAACTTACAAATTAACTTGTTTTCGTCTTTTAACACTTTTTTTTCCTAATCTTTCTCACACTCAAAAATCGTAAACAATCACCTTAAATTTTCTTGAAGTTAATTATAACGTAATTTAAAAGTTCAAATTTTACCAAAATTTTGAGGAGACGCTTTTCGTTGCACTATTTCAATACATGTTTTACAAAATTCTACTTTTCTGATTAATAAGTGACTTAACGGCTACAAAGACTTTACAGAATCATAAAGCAATTCAGGTTGTACAGGAAAAAAACATTCAATATTTGTCTAGATATTTAAAAGGTAAAAAAAAAACTAACTTTAAAATCAGAATTCCATATTTTGAAATAGTGCAACGCTCGCGAAAAATCAAATATTTGCTTAATTAATGCATATGGGCAATTCCACGGATTGATTTTTTCAAAAATTTCGTGTTTGAGATCATTTTTCTCTTAATTAGGCAATTTAGACAGTCCAACGACTGTGCATACTTATGTAAAACGCCGAGTTCTATCTTCTGGATGTTACTGCTTCTTTCTATATGCATTAATTAAGCAAATATTTGATTTTTCGCGAGCGTTGCACTATTTCAAAATATGGAATTCTGATTTTAAAGTTAGTTTTTTTTTTACCTTTTAAATATCTAGACAAATATTGAATGTTTTTTTCCTGTACAACCTGAATTGCTTTATGATTCTGTAAAGTCTTTGTAGCCGTTAAGTCACTTATTAATCAGAAAAGTAGAATTTTGTAAAACATGTATTGAAATAGTGCAACGAAAAGCGTCTCCTCAAAATTTTGGTAAAATTTGAACTTTTAAATTACGTTATAATTAACTTCAAGAAAATTTAAGGTGATTGTTTACGATTTTTGAGTGTGAGAAAGATTAGGAAAAAAAAGTGTTAAAAGACGAAAACAAGTTAATTTGTAAGTTTATGGTTTTGAGCAAGATTTATAAAATATGTAGAATAATCGAATTTGTTTGTTTCTCAAGTTTTTATTATTCCAAAATCTAACGGTTTTTTGAAATTCAAATCTACAAGTAGAAAAAGAATTACAATTTGCTTTTTCTGAAATTCCACTCATCTGTGGAATTGCCCAAATGTTATTTCACCGAACAATTTGTAGGGTTTTTGAATTTGAACTTTTTAAAACCGTTAATTTTATATCGATTTTTTGAATTTTTACTTTAAGGGCGATTCTACGAATGATTTTTTCTACAAATTTGTCTCCAAATCTATATTTCTCTTTATCATGCAATAATTCAGAATCGGAAAAAATGTTCAAAAATTCAAAAATTTCATGTTAATTAAACTTTGTCTTTTAAATGCCAGATTAAAGATCTTAACTTGAGGCATATCCTATGAAAATATCTCGTCCCAATTTGATGTCTAACTCCAGAAATCATTAATTTAATCTCACCCAAAATTTGTTTACAATTTGTGTATGAAAAAAAAATATGATTTTTTCTACTTTAAGTTGTTATTTGGATGTCTTGGAAGCAGTTGCTAGCTAATTTAAGCTTAGCTTTACATATAAAAACAACAAACTCAATAGAAATCTGCTTATTAAGCCTTAAAAATGAATTGAAATCTGAGTATTTTTGCACAACTTAAACTATTCATAAGTTTAAAAGTCTTCCAAAGACCTCTCTGAAACCTATACAAATCAATTAATTAAGCTTAAATCTATCTCCCATACAACTGGGGACATGCCGTTTGATGCCGTTTTCGAGATATTTGCGATCAAAGTTTACATCAATTTTCATACAAAATTTGATCATGCACAATATTTTTTGATAAACTTTTACAAAGTTTTGGTAAAAAATCATGTTTATCCTTTATATTAAGGACTGATTTTTTGAGCAATGAACGAAAAAATTATCTAGAAGATGCTAAAAGATTCAAATCAAGAGAAATTAACAAAAACTTTCAATTTTCTAATGTGTCGGAAAAATATTGTGCACAAGGAATTTTTGAACATTTTTTCCGAATCTGAATCATTGTGTATCAGTTGCATTACTCCCTATGTTTCATGTATTTAATAGTAGATTTTACCGAGATCTACATATTGTTCTCACCCAAACATATTAAAAATGGTTAATTAAAGAATTTTTTACATTCTACGAAAAATTACTCTGTTTCACATGAATTTTTTCGCCCAGTTTCCAAAATGTTTTCATTAATATCTTTAAGGTGGTAAAATTTCCAGTAATACTAAGTATACAAAGTTATAGCTTAAAGTAAAAGCTTCAAAACGAAGTCAAAATCATATTTTTGGAAGCCTTAATTAAGCTGCAATTTGGATTCTACGAAAAATTTCATTAGTGAAACAGAGTAATTTGGAGACAATTCCAAAAAAAACTACCAAATATTAAAATTAAAACCATGAATTTCTCAAGCCATAGCTAAGTATTTTGAGTGCAGATGTAATCATAATTCACAGTTTAACCAATAGAAAAGAAAATGAGAATTAGATTTTTGAAAAACTATGCACAAGTGAAAATAAAATAATTAAAATTTTTCATGCAATTGACACGGATTATTTTCATGAAACCTTTTCGTAGAATTGCCCTTAATTTTGTAAATTTAGTATTGATTTTTCGATCAATATGATAAGTTCACGCTTATTGCAGTAAAATTTATGTTTTAAAAATATTTTCTGAAATGTTTTTATCAAAAATATTTGTTTTGTAAATAAACAATTCAAATCGAAGAAAACAGGAAGAAATCTACTCAAATCGAATATTTTGGTGGGTAATAAATTTTCTGTTCAAATCGAATCTACTCAAATAGAATCTACTCAAATCGAGGACCCCCAGTACTTGTATGGAAACTATTGTAAGTATTGTAGTTTTTACAAGACAGTTTGAGAAACATTTGTCATATGAATTTGAATATAATTGACGATTTTTATGTAGTTTCTCGTGTTTCTTTACATTTTTTGAACCAAAATTTGATAAAAATACATAATTAGCAATTTTGAACTAAATATTTTTAAGTTTTAATTGAAATTTTATAGTTCTTCAAAAATATTCAGTCTAAAACATATACAAATATTGTAAAAATATTTGTATACAAAATTTTTGGTAATTAAGTCATTTTTCAAAATTGTCAATAGCAAAAAAGTATTCTGGCTCGAAACAAAGGCGATATAACGCCAGATGCAGCCAAAAATATCAAACATTATTAACGAAAACATAGATAAGATGAGAATATTAGACATTAGTCTCCTCATATTAGAGAAACTTTAACGTTTGCTTCAATTTTATAGAGGTAACACCGAGGTTTAGTTTTTTTATAGCGCTTTAAGTCATATCATAACATTGTTATGCCTCGATTTAAGTTTGTTTCTTTAAAGTTTACTTTGCTTTTAGTAAGGACATTTTTCATCAGAAATTTTCAGTGAATTTTCCTGAAATGATATATATTTTTGTATTAACTAGGCATTCACGATTTCCCGGACCCAAAAAATTATCGGGAACTGGACAAAAATTTAAACTCAAATATCAAACATGCTCCTGGAAATTTGGAAGATTTTTTTGTGTTTAAATGATGAAACTTTTCAATTGAGATAATTTGACATTAAAATTTTTTGGATAACTATTTTTATTCATCGAGTTTCTGTCCCAAAAATTTCGGGAACAGGAAATCGTGAAAGTCTAGTATCAACTATGAGAACTAAAAAAAATAAGAATAATTTTGACAAAGAAAGAAGAAAATATACAGTTTTATATTGTCTTAGAGATGCAGTTGTTGAAAATATGTATTTTCAAAAAAAAAAGCTATAAAAACCATTTGATAAGTTTGTTAAATTTGATTCCTTCTTAATCGCCTTCTTGTCAGAGGTAAAAAAATTCAAATCGT